TGTATGTATGCATGTCTGTATGTATCGTAGTTTATTTGTATTTCAAAGTAAAAGTTATTTAACCTAATTAAATATGTGTAAAGTGTAAACAATATACACATTATAACTTACATTATATCATTATATTTATGTGTAATGCAATATTTATGCATTCAAAACAGTTTAAACCTAGTTTAATGTAATAATTAATAGGTACCTAATAATTAAAACTGAAATTAAATTAAAAATAATGTTATTCTAGTTGTAACTAAATATTTGTAGTTTTTGGTATAATTTTTACAATTGGCATTGAATCTTGCAACGACAGTTAATTTACAAAATCGTTTGTAATATATAATCTCGGTACAATAATACAGTTATTAGTTTTTGAATTACAACAAAATAACAATATCACTACATTAGTGAATATCCAATCTTGTCAAAATATTAACTTCAAACACTCATAAAAATTTAATTATTTGAGTTGATTGTAGACTTTTTTTTAACTTATGAGGAATCATGTATTACATTTTCAAATCTTAAATTTAAAAAGAAAAATTGATATGAAATCTAATAATTTGCTGATTTTCGTGATTTTCTCGTATTTTGCCAAGATTTGAACTTTAAATGATTATAAATAAAAACTCTAACTAAGGATTTTTAATATTTTTCAAATGTCATTGTAACAAATAACAATATAGTAGGAGCCTTGTATTAAATTGTCAAGCTTTTTTACCCAACAAATAAAATTTTATTGACATTCATAGAAAAAAAGACATATAAATTTGGAAACTGAAAATGTTCCTAAACAGTTCAAAACAAATCAAAATATTTTTTAAATTTTATCGTGTATATAAAATGCAAATACAAACGACCAGTGAAAATTTCATGTATATACGTTAATTTGTTTTAGAGTTACACCAAAATCCAAAATCGATTTTTCGTAAATTATTATCAGATATCGACAAAATTCATTCAAGTCAATTAACATAAGTGCATATAACTATGTAGTATAGTAATACAATGCTTCTTATAAGTAGTTTTTACAAAAACCAAAGTAAAGCTTTTGTTATAGACAATAGACATTTAAAGTTCATATGTCGATATTTAAACGAAAAATCACGATTTTAGTTCTTACTGATTTTGGGTATTTACTGATACAACTAGTCATACTTTTTGAAATACCTAATAATGTTATCAATTGAATAATTTGTAGAATGTTATCAATATTCCAAATCATGGAAATTTCAATATCTTTCTATAGAAGTGGAAAGTGCACAAAACCTTCGGTATAAATATCCAGAGTTGAAAAAATTGAATTGAATTGGATTTTCTTCAACAGTATCTTTTCTGATATGAAAGTGAATCTATATAGTTGGTACTATTTTTCATGGAATATTATTCATGGTAGAAATATCTATATTTCGGTAGAAAAATTTCCAAATATATTTCCAAATGAATTATTTCCCGCCAATAGTGGTAAATGAGGAAAAGAATTTACTTTTGCTCGTCCTGAAAAGTTCATGAAAATCAGAAAATGGAATAATCTGGTTGCTGCCCTTCAATTATTATTTTTCTGCGTACTGTATCCTGTAAGTATAGATGCGTATGAGTAGGTAAACACTTTATACTATTATATTAATTAGTAAGAATGAGGTCCATGATCACAACACGGAAACGTGCTCTATGATGCAATTAAATTCTGTGTGATGTCGTGTGAGTAACTTATTATCCATTTTAATATTGTTGATAGTGTACTTAAAAAAATCGTTTATTTTTATCTCACTCTCTTTATAACAGACAGAAATAAACACAGTGCCTACCTAAAGGCAAATAGGTTAGGTTAGGTAGGAGTAGTGTCGAGCACCTCCATTAATAGACCTAACCTACGTAGGTATACATAAAAATGGCAAAATCCACATAAGGCCATCGAACGATCCGTAGGGGACATAATAATATAGACTACCAGGCTACCACCTATAAGCATATTATCTAAACAGAAATCAGACTAGCCACATATCATATTACCTATATTGTATAAACTATAAAGTATAGTCAATATGGACAAAAATAGAAGTATAATAAACACCAACTCAATAGCTGGTAGGTACACTTTCTTACATTATATTTTATAACAATACCGATTAGTAGTGGGTACAGCTGAGAATAGTATGGCACATTTAGCTACACTTCGACGAGGGACGAGCCTAATTTGATTTGAACCTTTTATAACAATAACATTTTTTTGTACTTTTTTGACTTTAAAATTTAAATAATCCCCCCAAAAAAATGTAAACTAAAAACGTTCGTGAAATGAGTGTTTTGCCCTGTATTATGAGCTGATTATATAATGACGTGTGAGCATGTATTGACGCATCACTGAAATTATATTATACAGCGCCACAGCGGTGATTCGGGTAAATGGCACACACGTATAGGAAGCCTGTAGGGACTTGGTAGAAATTTCACACATCAATAGTTATCAATAGATTGGTTTTATAGGGTTTTAAACTTATAAAAAAGTATTATATATATATTTATACATGGGGTAAGGGCAAGTACCCTTTATTTCCACAATGCAAGATGTGTGGAGTAGGACAATTTTCTACCGACAATAAAAATCGTTTAGGTAATAATCAGCATCCACTGTACTCAAAATGAAGTGTAATACGCCTTTAAAGTCAATATCGACGTTTAAAAATATTTGATTGTCCTCCTTATTTTTTCGTCCATTCATTGTTTGAAAAAAAAAAAAAGCAATTCTGATAAATTAAAACAATGGCTGGTTCATTTCCTTTTTTTTTTCTCTCACAACGAATATTTAATAAGTTTTATTTTTTTACGGTTGAACTCAATTAAACATTAATTTAATATGATAAAGTAACCAATTTTTCCAATATTCAATTCCGTTTTTCATTGGTTGTCCAGAGATTATTGTATTGTTATACAAATCTGTTCAAGCATCATTTTGTAACTAAATTACAATAATGAATTGTTTGTTATTCATACAAAAGAACTAGGTAGGTAGGTGTATTTTAATTTTAAAAGTGGATTTAACATTTTAATGAACATTACCAGTGTCTTGTTTATAATATAAGTACTTACAGTAAAGAAATATGTCAAAAATATTAATTATGAAATTATTAAAAGAGGGTTTTGTTTAGTAAAATAATAATAACTGTCACTCTATAGTATTATATAGGTACTACCACCTATTATAATACACACAATTTTTGTATTATTTATACTTTATAGTACCACTATACTAATGAAAATATTTTTTGGGATTGAAATTTTAATTGCTATATTTAGTGTTTCTTATGTTTTGAAAAAATAAATATCAAGACTATAGCCTTAGGTAATATGTATTGCAATGCTAACAATAAACATCGACAAATTTTATGATAACTTATAAAAGATGAAATATCTACTGAATAATGGCAAACCTACTCATACCAATCTTTAAAATGGTAAAAACCTTTCGTAAACTCAAGTATTGTAGCATATTTAGAATGGGATATATTCACTGAAATATGCTCAAGTTATAATTGGCCAATAACCAAAGGAATATAAAATTCAAAAATTCTTGTATTTAAATTGTCAAGATGCTACCTAGTACCTACTTAAATAAAAAACAAATGTTATATTATAATAAATTGATAATTTTATTATCAATATACTTTACATCCGTGGTTATCAACTGGTGTAGCGTAGTACCATGATGTATTTTAACGTTATTTGTAATAATTTGTGATCTTAATGATTTAAGCAGGTATGCTGACATTTATTTGATTTTTGGTTTGGGCATCGTTGTGATAAAAACGTTAATAATAAATCAATCAATGATTTACATGTATCTTACGTGTAAGTTACCACGGTAGGCTAAAGATTAAAGAACCATGTTTTGAAGCCTAAAAATATAAATTTCAAAAAAAATAATAATTGATATAATTACCTAATGTATTAGTATTAGTTATAGAGCTCAGATGTTAAATGTTAATGACTTAGTACAGCGTTAACAACTTCTCTACAATAACATTTTTAGATATTGTGTTATGACTTATGGTACTATGTAAAAACTTTTAAGAAATATTTTGATTAGGAAGTATTTTTTTTTTATATATTTAGGACAGAAATGTAAAGTAAATAAATAAATTTTTTTTATATTATTACAAACAAAGACAATTAAAAACCTTGGCAGTTGCATATATTATGCTATCTTGCACACTTTCAATTTCATTTATAAGAACAAAATGTTAGATACATGATACATCTATGATGACTTTTTACTATCATAGATTTAATATAGTAAAATTTATGTTTCATAATATTATGAATCTATACAGTATCATTAACCATTGATTAATGAAATAATATGCTATATATTATCAAAGCTATAATATAGGTCAAAAGCAGTGTCGGACTGGCTCGAAAAGGCCCAGTCCTCGATATGGAAAAAAGGGCCCCTAACAGTCAAATGTTTTGATTACCCCAGAAAAAAAATCAATAATACATATTTTTATATAGAAAGCTATTAAATTTGTAGAATTGTAATGATAATGTCATTATTTTAATGACTATTGAAAACTTCTCAAGATTGTAATCAAAAATACATTTCTTTATTCGAAAATAAAAGAAATGTTTATTTCCTATTTCTATTTACTCTAAACGAATAATAATAATATTAATAGGTACAAAATCAGGGGCCGCAATTACCATAATAATTATTAAGCCTGGGCCCCGTCCACAATTGCGGACTAGAGGTCCGGGCCAGTCCGACTCTGGTCACAAGTACATAATATGTATATAGGTACAATATGTCATATACATATGCAACCAAACATTATAATCCGAGAATGAATATAATATTTGAATAAGGTACTTATTAAATATGAAGCAACTCAAAATTAATTATGATTACTTAATATTTATTACAACAACTTATACATATTTGTATGTTTAGTTTTATTTTTCACAAGCATAGAAATTGAGTATATAAATAATATTATTTATAAAATATATTACACCCCTTTTCTTTTTTGAGTACTAATATATAGTACATTGTTGCCACGGATAAAAGAGTCTCCGAATTTATTTTTAAGTTCTCCATTTATGTATTCTTCTGTTTGTTCGAGAGCAATATTCATGTAACCATCTATGCAAGCCATTACACCTAATAAATGTCATTAACAAAATATATATATATATGCCTATATATAATTACTTATTATAAGTTTATACCAGTGGCCCAGTCTTCAAAAACTTATATAACAATCAAAAGAAATTTACATTCGACATTCATCCATCTATAAATGTGATTAAAGACATAAACAATAAACATTTTATGATTTCTATATCGTAGGTCGGTTAGGTATTTTAAGCACTGCAATGGTGCAATCCATTTAGACACCAAACTTCCCAAAAATAAGAAACCAAATGTGGTAATATTTCATTGACAAATAAAGAGTTTGGTGCCACTCGGCCACTGGCATAAGCACAATAAATTACTTATTATATTATGGTTCATAAAACTATGAATTGAAATTAAATATATCTATTTATAAAACTTATTGGTTATATACTTATATCCACATCCCACATCATCATTTCAATACTAATGTTTTGAACCTTTTGCAGTATTAAATAGTTTATAATATGTTACAGTGTCGTTGCTGTGACTATATTGTAATTTAAATGTAACCGAATAGTCATGGCACAAAGGTCGTGGCTATCAAACTCTTAAGATTGTAAGATTGATTCTGCAGAGGATCCGACATTTTAGTATGATTAAAATGAGCATATTACTTAATAAAAAAAATAAAAATAAATTGTTGGGTTATTAAAAAATTACCTCTGTAATCGACTCCACTATTCAATTTCACAACAACAGGACGACCGTGAATTTGTTGTATAAATTGTGTTAAGGCTTCTTTACGACTCATTTTGTGGATAAGATTCTAAAGAAAATAAGAATAATACCTATAAGATACGGTTTTTATAGAATAATAAGGAAATATTAAGCGAACAGCTTTCACCCGTTTTACAACGATAAATTAGGACGAATTATTTAATAAATAAATAATTATAATGTGTTTTAAAACAATTAATTTAATTTATTAATTTATTACCTGGTAAATAATATTAAATAGTAAATACTAAATACAAATTATACTATTTAAAACAATTTGGGAAAAAAGCGGACGGTCGTTGTTATCAGTTTCTCAATTATCACTTAATCTTGAGCCGAAACACACAAAACAGTGCGGCCAACATTTCAGTATTTTAAATGGTGTTTCAAAAACCATAATAATAATATTGACTGATTTCGAATTTCGAATTTCATAATTATGTTCAAATCGGCAATCCGGCTCACGAAAGTCCAAAACCATGGGCGGATAGGCCTACCGGGAAACCGGGCATTTCCCGGTGGGCCCCCCTTCGAATTTCGGCAATGGGGCCCTTTTTATGGTTAACGCAATGACTCATTAATATTATACAATTACAATAGAAGTTTGAAATATTATATTATTATAATCTTATATCTATAAATCTATTAGGGGGACGAGGTGGCCGAGCGGTCGAACACGTCGTCTGAGGCGCTGGCGGTCGCGGGTTCGATTCTCTCGACCACTGGGCGGCATTTTTCTCCGGGCAAGTCACGGTGTCCGGAGAACAAGTGCCGCCATCCCCCACTCCGGGGCATGGCAGAAACCTACGGGCGCCAGAATAGAAATTCTGCCAAACACAACACACACGTGTAATAACCCTACAATTTCAAACCCTACTACCTACAATCATAAACCCTACAATCAAGCTAATGGCCATAGTCGCCGGGCTTTAAAAAAAAAAAAAGATCAATTAAAAAAAAATATAAATCTATTAGTTATTACTATTCAGTGGTATTTTACAAAAGATTACTTATCACCTACGACCAACAACTACAACGTCAATTACCGGTTGGCGGCGGGTAGTGGTCACGGGGCGTATATAATTTGCGCCAAAAACAACCCCTCCAAAAAAATATTTATGTAATTTGGGCCACAGAAAACTTAGTAAAAGGGCATTAAGTAATCTGTGTCATCGTTTACCTACAAAAATTGTAATTTGCGCCACTTTAAAATAACTAAATAATCAAGTTCATTTTAATAGAAAATCAATAATAATATTAAAATAATTATAAATAAATGTATATAAGTATACGTAGGTACTCTATGTATATTAAATAAATATATTTTTAATATTTTTGAGATTAATATTGGATTACTGTAAATAATATCATGATATACTCAAGCCTGGGCAAGTTAATGATAATTTTGAACTGAGTTAAATTAAGTTGATAGAAAACATTTTAAAATTTTTAAAGTTAACAGTTAACCTAATTTTTTTTTAATAGCTAATTTTAAAATTTAATAATTATTTTTTAGTTAAAAATTTATAAAATGTTCAACTTTTATATCTAAGGATTGAAAATTTAAAACATATTCCACTTAAATAGGTTATATACAAATTACTCTATTCACAATAATATCATCAAATATACTTAGTAATATCAATATATCATAGGTTGACTGACCGTTTTCGCTCAGAATCGTTTTTCTTATACAATGATATATTATATATCATTGAATTCAAATTTTAACACCATCCATTACAGTGACCCACTTGTAACCTACTGTACAGCAGAGCGACATCCACTTGCCCACCTATTTTATATTTATTTTATTTAGAACAAGTTCTAATTTTTGTTTAAATGTTTATATATCTTGTGTTTCTGGTTTCACTCTTCTCATTATCAATAGGCTGCTATTCTAAGTCTAACTAACGGTTTCGTTTTATGATATAATTTACTATGTCCATTTTCTGAAAATTTTTTTCTTAAAATATTATTACTACATTTATATTAATACATACATACATTATACTTATTAATTTTCTTTTACTATGGAGATCAAACTAAAAAATCCTTTTATACGTTTTACATTCATTTTTTTAGTTTTACTCAACCCAGGGCCACCAACACCAATTTGCTACAAACGAATAATAGAAAAAAACAACTCATTCACTATATGTATAGGTATCTACACGATAATTGTGGCAGGAATGTTGCCTTGAACTTTTTTCATCTCCCTATAAAAATGTACTCAGAATGTACCACTATTGAGTAGTCAGAATATAATATCCTTATAGATGTAGTATGTTTAAATTAAAAATATTTTATTTGTATATTGTATAGAATAAATTTATTTTATTTTAAATTCTTCGGTTTCTGTATATATCACATGTTTTCTGGCTGAACAATATTCTGTTACTTTACAGTCTTTCTTCAATTTCCTATTTTTTCTTTAAATTATGCCGTTTACAAAATATAAATCTTTAGTGAAGGAAGACTTGATTGAGTATTTAATCAATTTCCTAAAACTTAAAAGAGGCGGCCCGGTCGTCCCACTAGGTCGAGGGGCCGCGGTGCAAACGGCGTCCACCAATATTGGGTCATAGAATATATTATAATAAATACAAAACGAATATTTTAGGTAACAGATTATCATATTCTTTTATAAAATAATATTATCAAATGTACTATACTTATATAATGATTGTGTAAGTCATAACTTATAATCTCTTGAACTGGGAGTGATTATCATTGAGGATTTAATAAATTTACTAAAAGAGACGTGTCCTGTCGCCTCAGTAGGTGGAGGGGCCGTAGTGCAAGCGGCGTCCACCAATTTAATATGAAATTAAAAAAAAAAAACAATAAAAAAAAAAATTATTATTGTTATTAATTAATATAATAATTATTGTTTTATAAAAGTATGATTGTATTAGACGCAATCTTGAGCAAATGATATCGGCTTCTATTTTCCAAATATAATTATACTTAATACTGAAAATTAATGAAATCAGAAAAATAACAAAAGAGACTGACTCGATTTATAATTGATTTTATAATTTTATAATTTTGTCTTAAATTTACTTTTTGTGTAGAGAATCTGAAGATGGTTTGGGCATTAAGGGCTATATCCCAGCGATTCTCAAACTTTGTAGTAGGTAGCTGAATCTCAAGCGATTCAACAACTGTTTTAGAGTTGCCAATATAACATAGGTACACTTTTTAAAGCTATCATAATAAAATGGTCAGATAACTAAATAATGTTTTTAAGCGCTGAGTTGGTTTTTGTATCGTAATTCTAAGATTTTGATTTTTTTAAGTTGGTTAAAAAAAAATTAAATATTCAAGTGTAAGAAATATTTTGATTTAATTCATAGGTACTAAAACGTATTATTTTACTGTAAGAGTATATTTTGGATATTTCTTCGCTGAATAAATTTATTGGGAATTAATGTTTATTTTCGGTCGGTAACAATAAAAATATAGTCGTTTAATACAAAATTTTATCTGGTACAAACCTAACCTATGGAAGTCGTCCATATTTTCTTTTTAGTATGTGAAATTTTTTTTTGTTTGTTCCTTGGTGTGAATAATTTGTGGAATAAAAATATTTGTGTTATAATTGTAATTTTAAAATAACAGAAGACAATTATGAACAAAATTATGATTAGTATCGTAAATGTATGAAGTGTTCAATTTGTATTGGATTCAACCTACCGATAAAATGTTTTATTTTCTTCTATTCATACCCACCCGCACCCATATTTAAGGTGCTGCCACTTGTTGCACTTGGAGCCTATGTTATACGTGACTGGACATACTAATTTTGGCCGTTCCATTTTTATTCGTCTGCCCACTATTAGTTTGGCATGGCTAGCAACGAATAGCGGAAAAAAAAACTCCCGGAACAAAATTCCACACTAGGAAAAAAAAGTCCAGATAAAAATGAATGAAAATATATAAAAACTGATGTATAAATAATAAATATATTAAAATTGTATTGAAAAATACATTAAAGTTACATAAAAAATGATATAATATCATTAAAAATGTTAATTAATTACTTAAATCACATATTAAAATATAATATAATTTAATTTAATACAAGTCCAAAGTAATAAAATGTAATACAATTATAGTACCTATATAATTATAATAAAAATGCTATAAAATAATAAAAGTGTAATATTATAATTAAGTATGTACACCTCTTTCTATGGTTATGACTTACGGCTGTTAAAAAGGCCTGTTTATAGGTAGGTATTCATATAACATATTATTATACCAAAAACTTTGTTTTTATGTAAATGTAATGTTCCTTATCAAACTTCAACTATAAGTATTTATAGTAATTTCAAATATATTTATTAGTCTACTACATTTGAAAAACCATCCAGGATGAATTCCTATTATAACAAACTAAAATTTTTTTTAAATTACCTCTGCAATTACCTTTCAATTTATGATGAATAATTTATAATATGAAACTTTTTATATTTATCTATACAATTTAATATATACCATAATATTATCATTACACTAAAACTAAATAGTAAATTACTAAATTATAGCAAAAGTCAAAAATATGATCTCCATTAGGGAACTTGAAAATTAAATAAATATTTTATAATATATACACTATATAAGTATGTAAGCTCCCTTCTATTTTTTATGATATTACTGATTTTTATGTAACTGTAATGTATTTTTAAATACAGTTTGAACATATTTATACTTCAATTTTGATATATTTTCATTCATTTTTTTCTAAACTTTTTTTTCCTAGTGTGGAACTTTTTTTATCGGAGTTTTTTTATCGGGACTTTTTTTTCCGTGACTTTTTTTTCCGATTACTACTAGCAACAATCACGAACTATCTGATCATTGGAGGCAACTAAACAGTTGTATTAGTATATAATGTATATTAATCTTTTTATTTACGATAAGGATGGAAGACAATTCGTATATTTTAGGAGGCAACTAATAATTAATATGCACCAGTGCCGGCCACGCATAATAGAAAAATCGAAAATCTTTAATCGTATGTAACTT